TCTGAAGGAAACGACCGTGATATTTCTTCAGAAGTTCTTTTTGAATCGATTTCATTGCAAATGTCTGATGGTAAATTTCACTCACAATGCTTCAAAAAGATAGGTGACTAATGAAATCAACTTAAGTACTTCCAAATGGAAAACAAAAATTTATTGAAAATCAGACGTGAATTATAAGGTTTCTAGAAAATTTATTGACAATTTTTCTTCTGCAAGTGATAATTGTTTATGCTACTAAATATATAAGCTACGTATTTCAAGTAAATACTTCTTTTTCGCACTCTCTTGCTTTTATGTAACTTGTTGGTCACTTACGTTAATTACTATTATTTTGATTAAAAAAAAGAGAACTAGAATCCGATGAATTCCTATTTTCTGGAACTATTAGCATCATATTTATTGTTCTATAATTTTTCAAAAACAAAAAAGTCTCTCATGCATTCACTATACAGAAATTGCTAAATCAACGGTATTGGATAACAAATTGATATATTTTTTTCTTACCTATATACACTAAAAAACGATTGACACAAATTTATTTCTTAAATTCTTTTACCACTCGTTGTCGTTCATGCAGTCATAATACTTGTTATTGTTGTAACAATATATAAACTTAATTTAAATGAATACAGTCTTTCCATTATTATTATACCAAGATCAATAATTAGATGGTAAACTGCTTCAGAGAAATTTATACTGACTACTTTAAAGATAATATATATCGCTGCTATTTTGACTGACGATCGAAAAAGTTTAATAAAGTAACAGATAAAGAAAGCGTAATGAAATAATTAGTATAACAAGTCAATTATTCCATTGAATTTTACCAAATATAAATGAACAATATTCATTTGGAACTTGAATAAATGTATCATTGTCATTTTTAGTTTGAAACGAACAATAACATTGCGTAAATGCAAATATAATTTCATGTGACTTCTCTCCTTTCTGTGTATTGTTGTACAATAGGTATTACTTTGTATAAATCGATTGCTCTTACACTTATGTCTATGCATGACTGAGTCTCATTCTTTATCTCATCTTGTTCTCGTCTTAATTATACAAACATCTGTCTTATGTGAAATATATATAACTAATGCGATGAATTAGCGCAGTAAATATAAACACTATGAATAGTGTTAAGCACTACTCTCACTTAGTCTATCATTTTGATCACAATCTATATATTCATAGTAGCCATTAGTTTTTAATTTGATTAAAATAATTTGAAAAAGATTCTACTATTTTTACTCAGAATAAGACTATCAGTCAAATCCACGCTCACTCTCGAGTTTTCTCATTTCAATCGCTTCGTTTTTCTGAAGATAACGACTCGATAATAATATTAAAATATCCAGTTTGCTAGAGAATTTCAAGCATTATCAAATTGTGTATTTACTTTGTCTAAAATATTGTTGCAAAGTATCAAAACATCGACTCCAACGTTTTCTTTCCAAGGGAATAGGCTACCTGTTATGTTATCTAATGTCAAAGTTTCAGTCATATTTAACGATAAATAGCTGAGAAAATTACAATTATATCTCCTGCACACTAACTAATTAGTAGAGTTAAAACAAAAATCACATTTAAAATGTCGTTCAACAAATTTCTGTTTTAAATTTTGCTAGAATACATATAACTAAAACGAGAATGCAAAATACTTCAAGAAAAAAACAAATCACAATGGATGCAATGTAATGCAAGTCAGTTTTATGATTGAAATAGGTTATCTAGAGAAGCATTATGTTGATGGTGTAAGCGACATTTAGATAGAAGACGATGTAAACTATTTCATGTGCAAATGTGTGTAATCATTCTCACTTATGTTCTCCTTGCTATTTGGTTGGTAAGAAATTTTTTGCGTTTTTTTCGAAAACTTTATTTTTATTTTTTAACTGTAAGAATACAACTAGGTTTCAACAATGTATGCTCCATTACTATCTATGACTTGTCGCCAACGCTCTAGTAGAGAAAGAATCCCGCGTTCGTAGAAGTCCTGAGACTTTTGACCAAAGAAGTTGAGAAGATCCATTTTGAGGTCGTTCTCGTCGTCGAATTTTTTTTCGCGTAAATGGTTAGACAGAGAATGGTACAAGTGGTAGTCTGTAGGAGCCAAGTCTGGAGAATAAGGTGAATGTGGAACCGTGATCCATCCGAGCTTCAATAATTTTTCAGGCGTCGACTTTGCAAAGTGTGGTCTGGCGTTGTCATGTAAGAAGTATATTCGATTCAGCTTTCCCTTAAGTTTTTCTGCAACCCGGTCCAATTGTTGACAATAGAGATCAGCAGTGACGGTGCAGCCGTTTGGAAGAAGTTCCCAATTAATAATTCCTTTCACTCCCCACCACACGCTCAACATAATCTTCTTTGGGTGAAAGTCATTTTTGGGCGTTGCTACACCTCTTTGTCCAGCTTCCAGCCACTGTTGCTTGCGCGTGTGGTTAACATACAACACCCACTTTTCATCGCCAGTAATAAGATTGTGGAGCCATTGGTAGTTGCGGTGAGATGTCATTAATTCCATACAAGCGTCGAGACGGTGTTGGAGCTGATGTGGTGATAATTCATGTGGCATCCAAACTCCGTATTTCCACGTTTTGCCTAATTCGTGCAGATGTGTTTCCATTGTAATATGAGAGCACCCAAGTCGCTCTGCTAAACACCGAGTAGTCAATCTGGGATCTTCTTCGATAAGTTGCTTTAAGACATCCACATTCACCTGTACTGGTCTCCCGGTATGAGGTAAATCGTCGAGTTCGAAGTTGCCGTTCTTGAATTGATGGAACCAATGTTGCACTGTACGAATAGAGAGTGCATCGTTCTCCATCGTACCACATATGTTGCTTGTTGCTTCCGTTGCTTGGTGACCCAAACGGAATTCATGAAGCAAGAGTACTCGGAGCTCTCTACGAGATATCTTCACTTCTAACTCGAGATCAACGTCCATGTCCATAATTTTGTTATTGTTCGAAAGATATTCGTACCGCCTATATATACCCTGAGTATGGAAACTTCTAGAACTTTCTCGACTGTTCTAGGAAATTTAAGAAAAAAACGCAAAAAATTTCTTACCAACCCAATATTTTGCTAAAAAATGAGAGAGAATTCAAGGTGGTTACCTTGCTGATGGACACTTTCGAATTGGGTAACAGTCTTACATTGGTAAAACTTACGACTCTTCTTCGCATAATTCAGACGAGGAATCGACTAATCTTAAGATGTGGATGTGGGTGGCGGCAGAAATAAAGTGCGATCCACTTCTACCGACACCCCAATATTTTTACTAGTGACTGATGAAGGTTATGATGGTTGTGGTAGTGATGTTGTTATACGTGATAACCATAATATCAATTTATTCAGAACAATCATAACTTAAAAATTAAGTTAATAATGATGATAAAAGAGTTTCAGATATACGCATTTATTAATTAGTAAATTTTTAGATGAATTTTCTAATTCAATTAAGCATGATGCTTGAAAATAAATTCTAGCACTAAATTTCATATTTTCAGCAAATATCGAATATTTGAGCGATATTTTCTTTACACAGTATATCTTAACGCACAGAATTTACTAAAAATCTACGAAACTCATCTTATTTCACAGAGAAATCACATGCTTCTACTGCTATGAAAAAACACAACAATTTGCAAGTCGATTCTATTTGAAATCTAAACCGACGTCTAGATCAATACCACACAAACAACCTTCACGAAAATATCAAACAGACAAATGACTACAACAAAAAGACCCCACCACATACAAATATGGTAAAATCATTCGCAGCGAAGAAAATTTCATTCAAAAAAACACACACCGAAATCAAATAAATGCATCAGCTATATCTGTCTACCTTCAAGAACAATGAATATGATAATCGCTGCGTGTGAACAAACGCAAAACATCTTTGTTCACGATCTAGCAAAATGGCACAAAAGGTTCTCTCGTAGCGACTCTTAAGACTCCTATATCTTGCCCATCCACCATGAAGGCAATTCTAATATGATCTGAATGAAATAGAACAATCGATCATTTTATCTCAATCGAAATAAACTTGTATTCAATTTATTTAAAAAAACATTATCATAAAAGCATATTGATTAGCAAGATTACGGTCAATCATCTTTACGTAAATTTGACCGAGATGGACAGAAGGCTGTTGTTGACTGTACGGGGGTGGCAGCTGTTGTTGAGGATAAGGAAACCACTGTTGTTGTTGAAAGTGAATGACCTGTTGCTGCTGTGATCTGCACTGGTACTGTAGAGCACTGGCATTAGTGCTCGGTGCATATGTGCCTCGTTCAGATGAATGTTGTGCGTAAGCATTGTAATACGATGTACGGTAGTCACGTTCTGATGGATAGCGATATTCAAGATCTTTCACTAATAATTGACAGAATGGATCTTGAGCAGATACACTAGCTTTGATCTTGTCGACTTGAGCTTTGAGAATGGCAATTGATCGTTGATAGTTATTTTCATGCATTACCCGTTTGATTTCACGAACCGTTTCTACTCGGTTTCGTTGAATATCGAGTGTGTAATTGACTTGAAGTAGATCAGCAGGTGGTTGAGCCGTTCGAGTCAATTGGAATGAAACAGGATTGATAGTCGTTGTCTGACCGTTGTTTGGTTCTATGTAGGTCACCGTCACCTGACCTAAAAACTAGCGATCTATGTATTCAATCTTTCAATGATAGAAATTCATTCTTACCAATAGTCTGTTGATCGACATCTGGTGGTTCGTCTTGTGGCATCGTTTGTTGACTGACAATTCCGATATTTTCATCGTTACCCATTTTTGGTACATGAAATTGAAAAAGAAGATTTCGTTTTTCATCGGCATTCATATCATTTAATTTGAATGTGATATTCTTCGAAGGCAATGTTTCAGGTTCATGCTGATATTGTGAATGAAGACGAGTAATCTTATACTCGCCATTGAATTCAATATTAACTCGAAGTTGTTGTGCAACACAACTAAACAAACCACCTAGAGTCATGGTAAAAACAGGACCGACTGCTTGTTCTTGATCCTGTTTAGAACAGAATTATCTAAAGGAATTCAAATGTGATCAAACCTACGATATAAGTGAAGGCGCCTCGGTTGCCTTTTTCAGTCAGTTCGACGAGCAATGCTGCATTGTGATCAGGTCCGTAGCCAAAAGTGTGACAAGATACATCTTCTGGTAATGCTTTCATCAATTGTGAATAGTCATGCTTCGAATTATCTACACCATCAGTCAGTAAGAGTAAAGCACTCAATCGAGTTTTGGTCTGGCAACTCGTGAACAAATTGATGCCCATGTGCAACCCACATCCTATGTACGTACCACCACGACTAGCAATATCACTATTGATCGCTCTCGTTAAGATTTGTTGACTAAAATTTGCTAGAAATGCTTATGTATTTTCTTAAAAAGAAATGATTTACTTTTGTTGATTCATTCGTTTAAGTCCGTGTGAAATATTATAAGCAGCTGCATTAAACGAAATAATAGCACGTCAATCGAAATCATTCAATTGTTCAACAATATAAACTAAAGTTGCTTTTAATAATGTCATTTTCTGGCCGAACATTGATCCACTCTGATCAACGACACAAACAAGATCGACGGGAACGCGATTTGATGCCAAGGGTGCGCTTGTACAGGGCAGAATAGCTGGAGGTGCTTGAAGAGTGACAAGACCGTAAATATTTGATTCTTCAAGGGTGTGGGTGTGGGTGTGGGTGTGAGTGTGTGGGTGTGGCGTGTGGGGTGTGGGTGTGGGGGTGGGTGGGGTGGTGGGGGGAGGGGGTGGGTGTGGGTGTGGGTGCGTGTGGGTGAGGGAGTGGGGGCATCGG